AGCAACCGAGCCGACTCTGACGGGAGGTTCACCCGGAGACGGATCGATCGGCGTCAAGGTAGCATCTTGGGACTCGGAATGATCGTAGACGGTGTCGAAGTAGAGGTCATCAAAGAGGGACCAACAAGAATCGGCGGCCTCGGAAGGGATCAGAGGGAGGGGGTTTGGGGGATCGCTGGAGGTGGAAGACGAGGAGGAGGAGGATGAGGAGGAGAGGGGGGGGACGAAGATATGGGGTCCGATGTCACGCTCGAGGCCGAAGTCAGAGTGCTCGAGGAGGATGCCGGCGCGGAGGAGACCGGGACAGCAGACGGAGATCTTGTGCAGGGACGGCCAAGCGGCGGCAGAGGAGGCGGCGGCGGAGGGGAGGAGATCGGAGGGGAGAGAACGGCAGCAGCGGGAGCGGTAGCAGACGTTGCGAACGAGGTAGGAGAGGCGGGCAGAGACGCAGGCGAGGCGGGCCCAGTCGCGGGGATCGACCTCGAGCTTGGCGAGGATGTTGAGGACGATGTCGTCGGAGAGGAGCGCGAAAGGGGAAGAGGCTCCGCCTGAGTCGGTGGTTGGGGTGGCCGCGGTGGAGGAGGCGGACGAGGAGGGTAAGGTCATCGGAGCGATAAAAATGAGATCTTTTTGGGAACAAGGGATGACAGCAAAATTGAGGGGAGGAGGAGGGAACCAAGAGATGAGCTCAATATATACAGTGTATTTCTTTTTTATATTATTTTTTAAGGAATAGTTGGATAATGAAAAGAGTCCTATTTATTTTCTATTTTTCTCTTTATTATTCTTATTCGATTTTTCTTTATTTTCTCTTTTTTCTATATTTTTTTCCTTTTTTATTTTTATAAATTTTCAATTATTTTTAAGGGGTGAGTAATACTTATTTGTTTGGCTTTTGAGATTACATTAAAAAAAAAAGGCAATGGGAAAAAAGTGATAAAAATAAACAATTGTGAACACATGAATGACTGTTGTGTTCCACTCTAAATTGTATGTTTTAGAATTTTTTTTCCTTTATCCAAATTGTTAGCAATTTGATAGAAAAAATAAAAACAAAAAATTGCATCTATAACTTATAATATAAAATAATCCAAAGATATAATGTTATCTAATATATTTTAAAACATAAATATATAGGTGTAGGCAGAGCCTTAATCTCTAACAAATATATTTACCAAATTTTGTTGGTTTAATTTGATATTAAAAAATATAGAAAAGATGGACGGACGGTTCGATTTTACTTTTTTTTGTTTTAAATCAATTAGAACATAAATTATTGGTGATAAAAAAAAAAGATTAGACTAAATAAATAATCCATACTTCATGGATAATTCTTTACAAAGGTAAGTGGGAGAATCCAGACAAGAACCTTAGATAATGATCTGTTAAATTTTACTGAGTTAATTAGCATCTTATAATGATCTGTCAAATCTTTATTTGTTAAATATTATTAATTAAACATTAAAAAAAAGGATAGACTTTAGACTCATGACATATTTTGATATCATCTTAAGATTTAATATCTAGAAAATTAAATTATTCGAAACAATCTAATACATGATAATATTTATATTATATATATTTAGTAGATAAATAAATATGAGCAATTGCTCGAAAAAAATCATCTTTTCAAAATTATCAAACAGTGATCCTTTATTTTTAATCTTCCAAAAATATATTTAAAAAAAAACTATTATTTTTATGGTTTGGTTTTTATCCACACAAAACACGTTTTTGTTTTAAAAATAGTATATAGTATTTTTTTAAAAAAAATACTATGTAGTGTTGTTTCAAAAATACTATATAATATTTTTTTAAAAATATATATAATTATGGTAAATAAAATAAAATTTAGATAAAAATGCATAATAATTTTTTAAGGTATTTTTTGGAATTTTAAATTAAAAATCACTGTTTAAAATTTTGAAAGAGATGTCACTCGACACAAAATCTAAAATAAATATTTTCTGGGACAATCGACCGATAAGGATTTGAAAGATTTGCACAATCGACAGTGGCGGCACAGAAAAATCTGCCATGAACATAAAGAGGAATGTGTCAGTGTTCATGAAAGCATAGAACATAGATGACAAACCTCAATGTAGTAAGTAGTATACAAATAGATTCGCACTAAGGATAGAATACATGCCTCCAATAATACACGCTACGGGACAAGACAACGGAGGAGCAGAACCTGCGGCTGAGAGCCGCCCACAGTCCTCGAGGGACAAAACGGAGATGGAAGACGCCTCTCTATCTTATCTCTCTCTCTCTCTCTCTCTCTCGACTCATGCATCATGTTGTTCGTTGGACCACTTGCAAAAGGGTGGCGGAGAGCATCCGGGGGAACGTGTGGTAGACGCTGTGAGCATACCGCGGAATGCGATGGGAGAAAGAGAGCGAGAGTGAGTGCTCATGGTTTCGAGAAAACCACCTGTGCGTCCGCCATCTCCGGGATGACAGAATTGATAAGGTTGTGCAGGATAACAAGTGGTGGTATGGTGGAGGAGAGAATGGAGGAGAACGTGTATAACACGAGCCAACGTAAACGAAAGTGAATTGAGACTCCGACTTCAGGGGTTCTTCTATCTCGTTCGAGGATTGCAGTGCAGTGCAAACCTCTACCTTGGCGAGACCTCGCCGGAGCACCGGTAAGAAGAGGTAGAACTCAGGCAGAGGCCACCTTGGCGAGACCTCGCCGGAGCCCAAAACAAAAGCATTTCACTGCACAGGGAAAACAAAGAAATGAAGTTATTTTTCTTCCTTTGCTTTATGAATTTTCCTTCGTTTTAGTCTTTTTTTTTCGAGAAAAAAAATATATTATCTCGGTTGTGTAATAAAATTAATGCTCTATATTCAAAAAAATAAATAAATAAAGCTCAGCTCTTCAAAGCACAAAAGCATAGGAAACTAATCAATACTCACTTTATCACTTGTGTAGTAATCTTTTTTGTAGAATCCATAATATTTTTTTGTAGTTTAGTGTTGTACACTTCATTTGTTGCAACTTTCCCTTCTCTATTTTAATAATGATTCCTATATAATCGCATTAAATTTGATGTATAGCGAAAAATCATATCATATGTAAAAAATTACATTAAAAAACACTATAATCATTTGATAAGTTTGTTCAACCCCTAACTACCTTAATTATCAATTTTATTGTACATTTTGATGTTCTATAAAATGATTACTTGAAAGTTTAAGGATGATTTTGTATGGAAATTATAATTATTTTAGTATATGCCAAAATAAAAGATGATATGTCACTTTATATTTTGGTTTACGTGTTTTAATTTTTTTAAATATTTATGTTAAGTTATTATGATAAAAAAAAATGAGACATTATCCAGTGATAGTGTTTTTTTTTGTTACTAAATAAAAATATCATAATTCTACTGAAAAATAGTATAACTGAGATTTAATTAGTTCAAACTTATACCCACCTTAGTTAATCAAGTTTATTATATGTATTGAGGTTTTATAAAATGATTTATACAATAATATAAGTAATTTTGGATGGGAATAAAAAAATAGCTTTAACACATTTCAATATAAACGATGAAAATTTTCTTTCGTCACTTAACTTAATATCTAGACTTATCTCTTTGGGTTCATTAATTATGGAAGAATAATGATGAATAAAGAGCCTGTTAACTTTATTTGACCTAAACTAATGATCAAAATAATTAAGCTAAAATTAATAATAATACACTCATCATATTATTATAAACTAATTTTAGTCTTGATCCTTTTTTATGTGAGTTGATTGAAGTGTTACATCAATAATCACAAATGAATGAGGGGGCCATAAGCAATAGAGGAGGGTGACAAGTGAAGAGTAGGTGGGAAGTAACTAGGGGTGGCACGAGCGATAGGATGGAGGTGTAATCATGGCTATAAGCCAACTAATTCATCCATATTTATAATTACATTATAATATTTTTCAAAGATATTATAACCAAACTTTAATTAGTCTAAAACATTATTTTTTAATTAGATCTTAAAATATAATGTACTAAAGATTGATTTTTTTGATGAAAATTAGGAACACATTGATATATTTAAAAAATAAAAGTTATAAATTATAAATACATCTTTTATGTATTTTAAAACTCTTAAAATATTAATATTTATTTATTATGAACGAATGATAATAGAAAATAAGTTATGATATTTTCTGTATAAATTTATAATACTTTAGTCTACTAAACTAGAAAACTAACCATTCAAGTGAACTAAGCAACTGTAAATCTATTCAAGCAACCCAACTAATTAATTTTGGTAGGTGAATAATTCTATCATACAAAAGCATTCTAAAATATGTGGGGCTAATGAAGAAAACCCGGATTTTTTGGGTAAAAATTTCTCCTTAATTTTTGGTTCACAAGATCAATATCACCAGCGCATACCCATGTCGCATCAACGCCATCCATCAAGGCTGATGCGAATCTCGATATTTGTCATAGGATGCGCAGCCCGCAGATTATAACCGTACTGCATCAACGCCATCCATCAAGGATGATGCGAATCTCGATGTTTGTCATAGGATGCACAGGCCGCAGATCAACACCGTCCATCAAGGCCTAAAGCGAATCTCGATATTAGTCATATGATGCCATCAAGGGCTGACGCAAATCTCAATCATAGGACGTGCAACCAGCAGATCATACGCATGCCGCATCATCGCCGTCCATCAAGGCCTGACGTGAATATCGATATTTATCACAGGATGCGCAGCCCGCAAATCATATCCTCATCGCATCAACGCCATCCATCATGACCTGTCACGAATCTCGATATTCAACAAAGGCGGCGCGGGCCGCCGATCATGCTCACATCGCGTCAACGCAAACCGATCTAGGTCTGATGTCAATTTCGATATTAATCATATGACTGCGTGCCTGTCCCGAAGCGCCGGTGCCTCGAGTGCGGGAGCATTCTCGCTAGAGACGGGTTTCTACGGTTCATATATAAGACCATCCTTACGTGGCAAATGATGAGGCCCTTTCCACACGCCCCTTACACAAAGCCGAGTGTGGAAACCTCACTCGCCCCTCTCTCGTGCTAAACTTCGTCGCTCCGGTTAGTCATCCCAAACGGACTCCCGATCTGCCGGGGGATCGATTTCTTTCTAGGGCTTTGAGCGGCCGATCCATTCATCCTGTATTGGATTGGATTCCGAGGTTCTCCAATCCCTTATCCTATATCATTGCGACGAATTCAATTCTTGAGGTTATTTGTTTGATTTTGATCTCCTTTGTTCTTGTTCCGAGCCCTCGATTCGGGGATTTTGGGATGTATGTATGTTCTTTACTTTGTTTCGTGAGGCCCTTATGAATTTGTGAGTGGAGATTCTGATAGCAATTCAGATTTGGGGATTTTTGTTCTTTGAATATTTGATCGTTGAATACGGAGGGATTTGATGAACTATGGATGGCAACAAGGATGAAGCTGCAAGATGCGTCAAGATAGCTAAGTCCGCTTTAGCATCCGGAGATAAGCAGCGGGCTCTAAAACTCATCAGAATCGCGCGAAGATTGGATCATTCTCTTCCTCTGGATGGTTTGCTTGTTGCTTGCGAGAAGTTAGATGGTTCCGATGCTGTGAACCGCAAGGAAGAGGTAGCAGCAGATCGAGTTCGCGAAGAGCCATCGTGCTCCAAGGCGGCGGAGACTGCTGGTGAAGGACATGACTACACGGAAGATCATGTTAGGCTGATTCGTCAGATCAAAATGACCAAGGATTACTATGCCGTTCTCGGGGTCGAGAAGAATTGCTCGGTCGAGGAAATCAGGAAGGCTTATAGGAAGTTGTCGCTTAAGGTGCATCCTGACAAGAACAAGGCACCGGGAGCGGAGGAGGCCTTCAAGTCCGTTTCCAAGGCGTTCAAGTGTCTGAGTGATGAGCAATTAAGGCGAAATTATGATCAGATTGGTGTGGCCGAAGATTCCGAGTACAACCTGCAAAACGTTAACATGAGGAGGCGAAGGAGGAGGAGAACCACAAAGAATGACTTCTTGGATGAGGATTTCGACCCGGATGAAATCTTTAGGTCTTTCTTCTTTGGTACTCAAGGCAATGCATTTCGCACCCAACGAGCTTACAGGGCAAGAGGAATGGGCCAGCATTTCAGGGAACACAATGTTCAAGGAGGAGGTGGAGGGTTTAGTTTCATAGCCTTGTTTCAGATATTGCCAATCTTGCTTTTTTTCCTGTTTTTGTATTTCCCTTTCCCGGAGCCACATTATTCTTTGCAGAAGACTCGTGTATACGAGATTCCTAAGGTTACTGCAAAAGATGGAGTACAGTACTTTGTTAGGTCAGAAGATTTTGAACGAGAGTTTCCTCTAGGAAGTTATTCAAGAGAGACTCTTGAATACAATGTTTTTAGAGACTATAGAAGCATACTGAGCCGATATTGTCGTATTGAACTGCAAAGACGTCAGTGGTCCAGGAGTTATCCCACACCATACTGTGATAAACTTCGGAATCTTCAAGTTGCTTGATGGTCTAGTGAGGTAAATTGCTTTCTTCATTTTCTCTCTTCTTCATATTTTCTGTCAGTTGGAAACTATTTAATCTTGGTAAACACAAATCATGTGGAAACACTAATTGTGCAAATGTATATGCATGTTTTTTCTTAGCACCATCTTATGGACCACAAATACAAATGTAGCACAATTGTCAATGAGATTTCAAAGTCAACTCAAGAGTGTATTTGTGGTCTCCACTGCTTAAGCTAAGGATAGAGATCTGGAATTTATTCCCTGATTTGATAGTTGGGCACTGACTCAACTCTTCATGTGGTAGTATTGACGCACTAAATCTTGATTTTGATATTTCAAAACACAAGGTAAAGAGAAGGATGAAAACAATTATAAATAAGTCCTTAGAGATATTCTGCATTCCACCAGTCTATGTAGTACACATATAAGCTTACAACAGTTGAAATGCTCACTTCAGTGTTTGTGAAGAAAGTTAGAAATGCTGATGGGTTTGTGCTGTATCCTTGTATATAGGGAAACATTAATGGTTAGTGGTATTTAAGAAAACATCTAGCATGTCGTGGTGCTATTTATAGAAGATATTCCTCTTGACTAATAAGAACTGCTTTGATCTTTGATTTAATTCCATCCATATGAATTTTTGACTTTTGATACCTCTATTTTCTTGAATTTCACTAGACAACATGTGATCATTATTATTTTTCATTTTAGGATTCCATAAAACCATGAGAATTATATTGATCTTACATTACCTTTTTGGACAGGAGTAGCATCTACTTTTAGGGATACTTGTATTGTTGTGAAATCTAGGTGAACAAACAAATATAAAGTGAAAGATATATTTTGGAGATGAATCTTGTTGACCCTACAAATTCTATCCATTGTATATTTAGTTTTTGAGAAGCTAATGGTAGAGAGTTTTTGTTAAGTCTTCTGTACAAGTTCAACTGTACAGTTTAGCCCATAAGCCACAAGAAGCTTTAGTTTCCAATCTGAAGGGGATGTTTTATGTTCTCAAGATTGTTCCCATGAAGAGACTCAAGGCAACATTGTCTTTCTTGTCCCATGTTCTTTCTTGTTCACAAAAAACACCGTAAAAACTGTTAACAGATTTGCTTTATCAAATAAAAGTAGAGTGAGAATGAAGCAAATTGAGGCACAGATGCAGAAAACCAAATCCTAGGTATTTGTAGCTTTTCTTTATGATATAATACGGCTGATGTTGTAAACTTGCTTTAGGAATTGTATCTGGATTTCATGCTTCAACAGGAACTAAAAAGTTCTTTTTCGATACATCACCCTCAAATGTTCAAAACTCCGAGGAATGGTAGTAACACTCAAATTTTTTATAGAGAGCAGTGCCATGTTCTACCTGTTGCTAGAATAAACCAGTAATGTCATAAATATTTTATATATTCTACTGTTGGCTCTGGTTGTCCATGAAGATCATTGTATATAGTATAATAAAAGGGAAGGAATAATTGGAAACCAATTGAAATGCTTTTGTCTTAAACCTTCTCATTGGGAGCACAATTTTGTTTCATAATTCCAGTGTATCTTATGGAATTTCTAGGAACATTAATCTGCTACTGATGTTGGCTGGTGGAAGTTAGAAGAACATGCTGAAGTAGTGTGTTCTGATTCGTGATGCATATTTATTTTCTTATTGATGCGTTTAAGTTCGCAAAAGGCAAAACATATTGTTCCATGCTCCCATGCACATGATGTATCTTGCTTTTTAATGCATGCTCATACATAAGAGATTTATCTAATGCTATCTTGGGTTACTGATCCCACTTCATCGAATGTTCATTTTCATATGTTGCCTGTAAATGCTTGAAGCAGCTGAAGTGTTGCTATCAGCATGAAATATAAAGTTTTTGATACAGGATGCTGTCATCAGCATGACATATTAAGCTTTTAAATGCATGCTTAGACAGTATGCTTTGTCTTTATTTTCAATCCATTTGAACAACTCAAATGTTTTTTTCCCCTTAATCAGGACATAAATCATTTAAGTGGCTTCTTGGTGACTCTGCAGGGTTCATGGAGGTTTCTTCAAGTTGGTAATGAAGAATTCTATTAACAATCTGAGTTGCCATATAAATCAAAGAGGATATTACTTGCACAATATAAGAGAGAGATAGGTTGATCATTCACGAAAGAACATGACTTGGTGCTGATAGGTCTGGTGGTTGATAGACCTATATTTGTAAGACTGGCATTGAGAGCAAGCAAATCAGGGAAAACGATACTCGTGTGACAAGTTACCTATAACTATAGATGATCCTTGTCTTTGATAATTTCGAATACAACCCACTATGTGATCGTGTGGTCGTCAATCTGGATACTGATGGGATCCTGTTAAATTTCCAGCTCATAATTTGTAATTTTCTGGAAGTGCTGATGATCAATTGACATCCGGATTGTCTGCTTACACTGTCATTGATTAATTTCTGAAAGCTGTTTTTGCATAATATATCAAAAGGTATGAAACTTTTCTTATGCACAACTTGGCATTCATTTTCCCTCCAAAACATCTACTATTGTCTACTAACCTGGATCATATGCATCAATTCATCATTTTCTCCCTCTCTCGAGGATCAGTTCTTCATTATACCGGAGAGTTGCAGCCATGACGCCGTGCTGACATCAATAATTGAACTCGACGTTCCCTCCTCATAGACAGGCACCAAAAATCGACGGCGCAGATTAGAGATCGCGTCACCAGCAAATCGCCAGGGTTGACAAGAAGCGTCTTGAAAGTCTCGTAACAAGTCAACAGCCAAAATAAGTAAAATCGCCGACGTGTAACCGCAAGCTTCGTCCTCTTACGTTTGCACAACGTCATCCCCCATCACCCTCGTCCATTCCTGACTAGGAAAACTCCAAACAGGTATTGAAACATCTCTTCCTCAGAAATGTCAAGCGTCAATCCACAAATCCAGGTGTCTCCTTTCAGACGAAACACATCGAGCGCAACCGCCCCTGCAGCCACTCCTCATTGTTGTTGATTCGAGAAGAGGATACAATTCCAAAGCAAACCTACTGCATCCTCTTGGACTCTTTCATGACTCATCGTGTCACTCGCACGCATCAACCTTCTCAATACAAGTATTACAAACTCTCTTCAGCAAGCCCAGGAGCAGTGAAACCATATGGAGGTCCACGTTCAAAGATCCACCATCTTAGCTCCTCATGCCCATCCCCTCAAGGAAGTTCCACTCACCATATTCGATCTCTTCGCCTCCAACATCAACATCGCGGTGCTCTTCGCCTTCACCGCGCCGACCCCCTCCAACACCGAGATCATCGAGGGCTTGTCGAAGACATTGGTGCACTTCCCCTTACTCACGTCTCAGCTCGATTACAGCCGCCTCCGACGTCGCCCCTGCCTTGTAGTCGGGGGCAAAGGCGGCGGCGCACTGGTGGTGGAAGCAACGGTGGACGCGGACTTGTCGGACTTCCTGCCGCTCGAACCCTCGGCGGACTTCCATCTGCTGCACCCTCCGACGGAAGAAACCCACCACTTGTTCCAAGTCCAACTCAACCGGTTCAAGTGCGGCGGCCTCGTGGTGGCCACGATCACTCACCACAGGGTGGCCGATGGCCAGTCCATGAGCACCTTCTTCGTTGCATGGGGAGAGACGATACGCGGCACGCCCATCACCTCACTTCCTGTGTACGATCAATCATGGATCAAGCCGCGATCCCCACCGAAGTGCGAGTTCCAGCACTGGGATCTCGAGTTCGTGCGCGTCCCACCTTATCGTAATGGTTCAACTTCGAATCAGAAGGACGAGGATCCCAGCAAAATCACAAACATATTGCTGCGCTACTCATCCGAGTTCATAACCACTAAGCTGAAGCCCAAGACGAAAGGGAAGTACACGACCTTTGAGACTGTGTTAGCCCACCTTTGGAGGAAGATAACCATGGCTCGTGGCCTCGATGACCGGAGGCATACCATGATCCGTGTTACGGTGAACGGCCGACCACGAATGAGACCTCCGGTTCCAAATGAGTTTGTTGGCAATCTGGTCTTGAACGCGTATCCCGAGTCGAACGTGAAGCTACTCCTCCAGGGAGGCGTAGAGCGGGCTGCCAAGATCATCCATGACGCCATTCGCAGGATCGACGAGAGCTATTTCCAGTCGATTATAGATTTCGGGGCGATGCACGGAGAGGATGACCTCGTGCCCGTTTATGATACAGATGGAGACGTGTTATCGCCCAACCTGGAGGTGGATAGCTGGCTAAGGTTTCGTTTCCAGGAGGTGGACTTCGGTGGCGGAGGGAAGTTGTGTGCTTTCCTTCCCGACTTGGGTGCCTTTCGAGGGTTTGGTCATCTTCGTCCCGGGTTTGGAGCAGGATGGGGGTTTAAATGTTGTTGTCGCGTTGTTTGAAGAGCATGCTGAGAAGCTGAGGCAGATCTCTCACTGCTTAATGTGACGCCGCTAAAGCCCGAGGTTTGCTTGCATGCCTAGCGATGATGGCGGTTTTGTTGCAGGTGTTATCGTTGTCTGATGAGTTGAATGACTGTAATAAGTGAATCATCTACCTCGCGTTACCTACGTATGTGGTTCAGCCAACCCTAATAATTCCGTCTTTTTTGCTGTGTGATCTGTCTCTCACTAAATTAATATCTTTGCGGCAAGCTGCTAAAGTTAATTGGATCGAACTTTTATGATCCAAAGTCCGTTTGACTTCATCCGAACCCGCTAACTTCGTTTCAACTTTCGCGTTCAGAGTGGATACGGATCTTCTCGATGGTAGACTCCTGGTAAAGTCGGGTCGGGCTTAATTTTGCACGAATCCTTACCCGAATCCAAAAAGTATATACAGGACGATGCCGGCGCAAGGATTCGGCACCAGAGAGGAGAAACGAACGGCGAACGACGAGCGAAACATCGGGAAGAAGAAGGTTGCGAAGGAAGAGGGGGCGGGAGTTAACGAGCGAGCAAGGGCGTGAGGAAGTTGGGTGATCGGTCGATGCCCGGTGCCATGGCGGCTCCGCATCCCGCAGCCGCAATGGAGCTCCCGGTGGAGCCGCAGTCGCTCAAGAAGCTTAGTCTCAAGTCCCTCAAGCGCGCCCTCGACCTCTTCTCGCCGATCCACGGCCATTGCTCCCCCCCTGATCCCCAGAGGTCGGTGCCCCCTTTTAAACCCTAACCCTAAACCTAACCCTACCCCTCTCTTCGCTTCTCATTCAATTTTGTCCCTTCGCTAAATCTTCTCTTTTTGGCTTGACTTGTGTGTTCTCTTTCTGGTGTTTTTTCTTCTTTGCCCCTTCTCTTCGCAGCAAGCGGATTCGTATCAGCTACAAGGTTGGTGACATTATCTCGATTTCTGTTGTTTCTCACGACTTCTTTCTCGGTTTACCGAAAAGAAAAAGAATTTCATATGGATATGAAAGTTGCAATTGGGGGTCGTACCTTCGTTTTTTTCTTCTGCATGTTGCGACCTCTCTGTTCATGGTTTTCGTCCAGTTATTCTATTATAATGCAAACAAGGGGGAGGTTGCCATAGTTTGGTGATGCAAGGAAGGGGAAAAAAAAAGAGTCTTGCGAGAAGTTCTAACTTCGTGCATTTGCTTGATGACTTTGAATCTTGGAGGTGCAAGCTGAATATGGTTCAGTAACAAACTTGGCTGGTCAGCAAGCTGGTGAGCAAAACGTTATTGGTGAGCAGGGAAAAGGAGATCAAACTTCAACATCTATGGCATTGGCTCTCCCAGGTATGCCTTTAAATATATTTGTTTTCAGCTACAATATGTGCATTCCATCATCTGAATATCGTCTTATTCTATTTTCTCACTCAGCTCCTGTACTTCATAAAATGGAAATTGTTAATTTTTCAACGCTAAAAAGTTGTATAATTTGTATGCACATATTTGATGAATCAGATGCAAAACTGTAATGTATTTTAATATTCACCTGTTTATTGGTTTGAACATAATTTAATACTGACCATTGGGTCTACCAATTTGTAGTTTTTCTTGTTTATAGCTTCAGTATAATGTAACATTGACAACTGGATCAATCAACTTATCAACCTTTTTTAATCAGCAAAAACTAGAAACATGTGCTTCAGTGGGAATTATTTTATTGTTTTTCAAGAGAAAGCAGTTTGTGGAGATGGAGTTTGTCTGTTTTCTTTTAGTTGCATATTTCACTTAATGTTGATGTTGATACTCCTCGAAATTAGCAATCGAAATGATCACTGTCTAGTCCACTGCTGAGATGGGTCTAATTATTGACATGTTAACTATACATTTAAGTTATAAATGTTATTTTAACTGCAGTATCCTGCTCTAATTAATTTATAGTTGGAAAATTATACTCTTCTATTTCTCTGATTGTTGCATTTAACTTAGTAAATTCCTGTTGGGTTTTAAATGTTTATCTAAACTTTGGTTCTGTTGTAAGTCTTTACCATGCAATTAATTTGTAGAAAGAAATTTAGAATACCACTATACTAGAATATTTGTCTTAGCCTGCTTTTTGAATATCGTTTGATTTTTCTTGCAGGAAGTCAAGAAGCCAAGGCTTCTCAAAATGATGGGAACCAAAATGCAATTATTCCTGCACCTACCATGCTCCCAAAGGGACCGTATGTCTGCTGTTTTTACATGTCACCTTTGTGAATCGATTTCAGTTTCTGCAGATATTTCAGTGATTAGCTTAAGTACACCTGGTATATGTTTTCTCTTTCTACAGTGAGATTGGTCCTGCAAGCAGAAATACAGGGGCTGTAGTTTCAGTTACCGACAGGTGAGACTCTAATTCCTTTTATATGGTCTATCTTTATTTTATTTATATGATCATTTTTGTTTGTTTGGTTGCTATTATGTTTGCCTGTAATAATTTTCTATTGTTCTTGTTTTGGATATGATTTACAAGAATTTGCTTTTGTATCTTTAAACTTCTATAAATTAGTCACATATATATTCTTTTATATGCAATAGAGATGCAATGATGGTGCTTGCTAGATTACCTTTCACTTGCTTTTTCCATATGATGTGACTTGACATAAGTGGCACTCATAGGTCTAGTGAAGAATAACTCTCTTGTATGATTGCCGGCAGGCGGTAGTCATATGATGCTTAACAAGGCCTACATTACCAAAAAGAATTGGCAATGTGGCATTGCAGCCAATTAAATGAATCTTGTATCAGGCTTTTTCCTTCATCCAGCCAGGCACCATTGTGTCAATAATCAATTATCCAAAAATCGAATGCTGATTGGGTCTCCAACAAATGCCAAAATGAAAGAGCATGAGAGCATTCAGAGACTATGTGTTT